CTTACCAATTTTCAGCCAAATCTATTCTGCCGTTCTTGAATTATAAGTGGTAACTAACACGACTTTCTTTTATATATATAGATATATGAGCCTAAGTACTAGTTGACATATATCTCATGAAATATTTTGAATCAGGAATTTTAAATGTGAGTTTAATGATGGAGTGACGGTGGATGAAAGATATATAGGATTGAATTCGAGTGTAATGATTCGGTTACGTAGGTAGGTACGTAGGTAAATCATAGATAGTCACAGTTGATAATTAAAATAATGTCAATGAAGTGGGTATATTGAAATAATTGTTGTGTTTTGTTCTTTGTAGTACTTATTTGTTATGTTTAGATCATTAGGTGTTTCTAAATGTGATGACAAGTAATTTGATGCCAATATTTTCTTGATATGTAAATGTAGATTATTAACAATAACATTAAGTACTAAATACAATAAATACGTACGACTTCAATATTACTTGCAATTGTTATAAAACAAACAGATTAAGTTCTACAAAGCAAATAGTAAAAAGAATTAGATCCGAAAAAACTAAGCCTCAAATAAAAAGAAACCGTTAACCCTTCTCAATTAAAAAAATAATCAACTTCAGTTTCGAAATTGAATTTCGAACAAGACGCTGAATCGCGCTAGCAAAGTTTTCAAGTTAAATAGTATGTAGATGTCATTTTTTTAATATACTGTGGGTCCGTTTCTAATCAGGAAAACAGTAGGGGGGTAAGGCTGTTCAAAACTGCCCCACGGTTATAAGTTAGTCTCTATAGGTATGTTTACTCATTAATAATTAGCATAGGCAGAATTTGTGTGCTCCGACAATGACGATTCGAGTGTTTCATTATGTGTATTAGTTTTAATATTGTATCGTGTACGGTCCCAGGACTTACGGGACATGCTACACGGAGGCTTAGATATCCTCCACCCCACTGATTAGAAAATTTGACCCAATCCTTTTTTTAGACTTTGTTCGGTACAATCTACTAGTCTACATGTTGCACTGAATTTTATTTTTATATGTCATGTACATGCCTGTATTATTGATGAAAATGCAAATACCGAAGATCCGAATACGTAATAATTTGCTTGACCTAGGTTTCGAAATTGTAACCCCTAGCTCCCTGTCGCGGAGAACCTAACGGGTAACCGGGGCTCCGGCTCGACGTGCAGGAGAAGAAACGGAGTGGTTTTTAGTCAGTAAGAGTCTGATACTCCCTCCCGCCTCACCCAGGCGGGAGCAGTCATACGATGATTTTTCCCCCATAAAAAAAACCTCTAGCTCCCTAGCTCAGACATGGCACTTATGATCGTTCATCTACTAAAGCAGTCGATTATGGTAAAAATTCAATGGAGGTACAAATTACATCGATAAAGTTTACTTGCATAAATTAAATAATTTGAACTACTTACTTACCTACTAAACTAAACCTATATTCATGCATGTCACACAAAAGTGATACCACGGCGACGTAACCAGTTTTTAGTACGCAATTAAATGCACATTTTTTTTTAATAACAACTAGCCTCAGCTCGCCACTTCTTACGCGCAATCGCGTTTTCTCCCATTCCCGTAGGATTTTCAGGATGTCTTTTTCTGTCATAAGGACCTTCTCCTGGCAACAACAAACGCAAAAAAAAATCAACCAAATCGTTCAAGCCGATCTCAAGTTATGGCGTGGCAACGGGACACGGTTTTCATTTCTATATATATACTATATATATGTCGCGGAGAACCTAACGGGTTACCGGGGCTCCGGCTTGACGTGCAGGAGAAGGAAAGGGATGGTTTTTAGTCAGTAAGAGTCTGACACTCCCTCCCGCCTCACCCAGGCGGGAACAGTCATTCGATGATTTTCCCCCCTTAAAAAAATCATATTATATAGAATCTCTGCCATTGTGTTGACTTTTGTCCTATGATTGCACATCAGACCTGGAACACATGAAGTCATGAGTAATTCTTACAACCGCTCGATCACCGACACAGTCATTATTTATTTAGTTTGGCCCGCTAATGTGGGTACACTACAGTAACGGCCTTCATTTTTACGCGAATACTCATTTTATCATACTTAGGTGGTGAGTAATGTTGATGTACTATGTTTGTATATTAGTTATTTACGTCACTTGAAAGATATGTCTAGTCTTTGTTTGTTTGAAAACTATTTCGTACGTTTTGAATTTTTTGCAACGGCGATAAGTTGGGAATAAGTTAGTGTCGAAAAGTAATAATTATTAGTATTTCTGATTTTTCTTTAGATAACATCTGCGTCATTATAGACACAATTAAAGAACAACATATGTTGCGGTCACCGGTGTCCTCGCGTTGTTTGACAGTTTAAGTCATTAGTGATGACAGTAAGTTATTACAGTTATTGAGATGCAAAAAATATACAAAAATGAATTATTAATTTGGTTCCTCAGTAAAAAATAAATTATTTTTACTTTTTAATACAAACAAATATAAAAAAATGTACTTCCATTAACTGATAATTAATTATCGTACCTACAAAAACACAAGGAATTCATCAGACGAATCTTGACATCGTTGCGTTAACATCAACAAACCGTTGCGAAGGCAGAGACCTCTAGCAATAAATACATAGTAGGCAGTACATATAATATCATCGCTAGCCACTTATTTCCCTCAGAGGAATTATACCTCCTCACCTCCTATAGTTATGTACGAAGTTGAGTTCGCAGTTTCCCCTCTGGGAGTGAGTCTGGCTTAGATTGCAGCAGAGATATCATACGAAATAAGATAAACGTGGATCTAGATAGCTAATACCTGCCAATTATAAACAAATAGTAGTAGGTAGATAATTGTTTACATATGTGGAATTTATATTACGAACATTGGTTTGTGTACAAATAACGTGTTACCTATTTGTATTAAATTAGTGTTATTCTTCTGTCTTTCGTTTTTGGCATAGTAATCTTGAGATTTATAGCTGATAGACAGTTTCATTTTATTAGACAATCTTATTATCTGATTTTATTTTAAGTTTGTATTTAGTATTTTTCTGGCTAACAAGAAACATATGATATTTCGCGGAAAAAACATGACGTCACAAATTGATCACTAAGTTCAAGCTCATACTGATACTGGGTTTGGTACTTTTTTTAAAAGAGTAACGATGGAGTCTCCACTCGAATCTACATTTTGGAACGAGCGCCTAGTTTCACTAACGGGCCGCGGACGGAGGACTTAACGGGTTGCCGGGGCTCCGGCTCGAAGGCCAGGAGTAGGAACGGGGTGGTTTTTAGTCAGTAAGAGTCTGACACTCCCTTCCGCCTCACCCAGGTGGGAGAAGTCATTTGATGATTTTCCCCCCTTAAAGAAAAGCTTTACTGACGGACAGACTGACAAATTATTATTTATTTAATATTTATTGACGTTTCAAAAGTACTAAATTATAGTTTAATTGAAATAAATGCTTTTGAGTTTGAGTTTGTGGTACTGGCAAACTATCGATTCTGACATTACAAAAATAATTAAATTTGACTAGTTGGCACGTAACATATTCATTTAAAGTGTTACACATATTTTGGTTTCTTTTTAAATCGACAAAGGCGTTAGATCTACTTTTGTTATTCTTTTCTCGTGAAATAAATGAACAACTAAGAACGTGCAAGAAAAGATTAACATTTTTATTTCTCAATTCTATAGAGAAAAGTTTCGAAGCGACAATATTGTAGTGTTCAAGTTTTAGATCTGAAGCCACAAGACTACAATAGCTTAAGTTAAGCCCGGTGAAGTAAATAGGAGCTAAGTTTTCATTTCTCTGTCCAATTCTACACGATTTAACTTTTATTTATTAAGTTTTCGTTAACCTTCGTTGCTAACTTGGCACTTGAATCTAAGGATCAAATATCGCACCAAGATTGTGTATTTTTTTTGTAAGTACCAAATTCTTAATGTTTCTTCGTTGGTTACGATAATTATACGGATCTAGAGGAAATGCTTTACTACGTCACATGTAGCTGCCTAATTTTTTATTAGACCTCTGTACTCATGTTTTAATATCTTTATCTATTACAAAGTAATAAATTCAATACATACATAATTATGAATAAACTTAAGGCTTTGATTGCCAACAGAAAACTGTTGAAGGCAAATCCTCCGCTAACGTCGGTCACCGGTTATCCCCATGGCATTTATGTCGGAATACTCAAACGCTACTCAATTTTAAGTCGCGCTTAAGTATAGTTTTGTCTCCACAAGTTCTTTGTAAAATTACAGAGATGGCACAATATTTAAGCACGACTTAAAATTGAGTAACGTTTCAGTATTTCCATATTATGTGTTAAAATTAACTAAGTCTATAATTGTATTCAGCATTTGAAATAATAGCGTAAGCAACCTCTTCGAAGAATGAGAAGGTACCTACCTACTTGATTGTAGACACGATTAGTTTTACCACGCAAATAACCTATTCTATCACAAACTACAGCCAGTTCTCAGCCAAAACAAAACTTTGGGCAATATTAATAATTAATGTAACTGCTTTAGTATTTGTTATAACTTGGTGAGAAGTTGAAATCGACTATTTTGATTGGCTTACAAGGGGTACGTTTGTAAAGCAGATTATATTAATGTTTCCACAACTTTGGGTTTGTTTACGGATTGTTTGAACAGATTTAGGATTTCAATTGTTATTGCGTTGTATGAAGTATACATTTTCGTCCGTTCTATTGTAGTTTTGTAAGTCTATGGAATGTTGTCATTGTTTTCTTACGTATTTGAATGCTTATACTAGTGTTTATGAAAGCCTTGTTCTGGATTTCAACTAGGTAGATTTAAACTTTGCTACCCATGTCCAGGGTTACGATTTAGAAATCTATATGCGCAACTTTGTTTGTGATGTCAAGATGTTGATAACTCTTCGATTGTTAATTAATATTGTGTTTATAATTACTTTTTATCCTGAAAGTATCTCTTTTTGGATCCATTTATTAACACCGTTTTTATCATTAACATTAATTTTCGTTGTCTACAGGACAAGCACTACCTCTGCATCATGGCGTCGGACTCACCAGAGCAGAATCTGACGCAGTACTTCAGTTTGTGCAACGATTTCATTCACGCCGCGCGACTGAGAGACGGAAACGTTCTCATACATTGGTAAGTAGTACTTTTGTCGACTAAGTTTACGAAGTTTTCAGCAGAAGATTTTTGTCAGCGGATTTTTGCCTACTTCTGACTTCTGGTTACATAACTATCTTGGTATGAAAACTGTAGGTATGTTTTGATACGTGTTTGAACCTCTGGGTCTTCAGAGAAAACGTACAGGCAATCCTTACTAAATAATATTATAAATCGGAAAGTGAGTTTGTTTGTTGGTTCCGCTTTCACGCCGTAAATACTAAACCGATTGCTTTGAATTTTTGCAGACGTAAAGTTAGAAGTCCGGATTAAATAATAGGGTACTTTATATCCCGGAAAAATTTGATATTCCCGAGGGAAAACAAAAGTATTGTTATAGATGGCGCTGTGTATGTCGTTATATGTCACATAGGCTACTTTTTATCCTTTTGTGACGCGAGCGAAGCCGCGGGTAAAAGCTAGTATTTATATAACTAGGTAAACTCGGGCATGAATTACTTTATTGTAGAACATACTACCAAAGAAGAGAATATATTTTTAGTATCCATATTTATATAGGTAGGCTTACCAACCATGTTTTGAAATGAAAATATAGGATAAGACATATCCAGTTATGGTTGGGAATGGGGCTTTTTTCATAAAAAAACAAGAATATGAATTCGCGGCCCGGCTGCGTTATAAATTTCCTTTCCACCCTTCTGACGGCTCAGGGTCACCATCGCCCTTCCCTTTTCAGGGGTAATGCACTACGGGATACGGTTAAAGGTGTTTTTATTTATTTAAGGAAATGGTCTTTCCACTGTTTTTGATGACTTTCTGTGAATAAAATTTTTATAAGGGTGAAAGATATAAAAATTGACCACAATGTAATGTGCATGTTCGATCATAGTATCTAAGGTTTTTATTGTGAGTCAGTAAGGTAAAGGCACCTAATTCCGCGCTGTTTTTAACATAACACGAAAGAACATTATAAATTAAGTATTTATCGGACCTTTGTGTACAATTTTATATTTTTATCAGAAGTGTTAGCTATCAAATTTTTGAAAAATTATTGCAGTTTGTCAGTAGAAGGTTATTGAAGCTGATAAAATAAATAAAAATATAAAAAAGTCCGAGGTACCTTATTCCGATTTAAAAATCGTAATTCCGATGCATTTGGTTCCTAATTCCGAGTATAAAAATAGAAAGGGAACTATGTAGGGAGAATTATACATGCTGTTTAAAAGTCAAATCTGTTTATTTTTTATATTACTTAAATCAATTCTGTTTTTGTTTATTCTAGTTTTATTCTAAACCCTGTTTTTTATTAATATTATTCCTTAATCTTATAAAAATATAAAAATGAATTAACAATATCAAACACACACTCCAATTTTATGTATTTGTATAGATGATTAGTATTCTTTCAGTTACTAAACGCGTATCTACTAAGCACATAAAATAATGAACACTCTGTATTTAAACAGGGTCTTAACTAACTTCGGAATTAGGTTCTCATGTAATCTTATTCCGACGTAAATACATCGGAATTAGGTACTCATGTAACTTTATTCCGACGTAAATACATCGGAATAGCGTTTTATGATGCTAAATCAAAGTTTCTAATTCCGAGTACTAAAAAGTAAAAGATTTTTTAATATTATGCAAATAAAATAATGTATAGTTACAATATGAAAGGAAAACAAATTAAAGTACATACATATAATAACAGAACACTTATAAAACCTAATGTCTTCACTAAAATCTTCTATACAACGTATTAATAAAGTACCTGTACAAACAATTTTTGACCTGCTATAATTAGTAAATGCGACGCCACGGTGTACCTCGGAAATAGATTATTAAATGTATGAGTTATTCATTAAGTCAGAACTAACACATTAAAGTTTATAATCATAAAACAGACACCGAAATTTAAAAAAACTAAATGTCTTTTAATTTGTTTTTCCGTGGTATACATCGGCTTTTAGGAACACACTAAAATATTTTGCACCTAATGCCGCGGTATTTTAAACACTTATTTTCTTGCTAATTTGCAAATAAAATACTCAAATCTTAAGTGTTTTCGATAAAAAATATTATCCTTTCAATATTTCAACCTAAACGAAAACTCGCGTTGTATAAAATTATTACGTAAAACACTATTTGGCAAATCGTAATACTCACGTGCATAAGGTCCCAAATGTATGAAGTGTGCTTTCGACGCCGCTCCCCGCGGCAAAATGACCGATTATTTTACAGTGTGACCATACTAAACTCTCCTTTGTATAAATAAATATGAACAGATAATTATTAATTCATTATTTTATCATGCAGACCATAAATAACTAGTAAATTGCTTTAAAAAACTGTTTTTCTAAATACATCGGAATATGGTGCCATTTTTAGAACCCCTCGGAATAAGGTGCATTTACCTTATTCACAATTATTTACAAAAGCGAATGACTTGTACGTAGGTATGTGTAATTACAATAATTCTCCCACGAAACAGATAAAAAGTTACACTGAATTTCTTTCTATCTGGAATATTTTAGGTCCCTCTTTGCCGTATATTGTATCCGCGCCATAAGCTCCCATGTTACTAAAACGCTATTTTTCTTTAAGAGAACAAAGTGGTTTTATCTTCTTGATTTATCGTTGGCATTTCTTTTAGACGACCAAAGAACTTAGACATAAGAAAAGTAAATTCTTATAGAACATGAATAAAATATATTAAGTTGGACGCAAAAAATCTTTGAGAAAGTGCTGACCTAAGATTAAGGCTGTAAGTTTTTATTCTGATCATTAATATTCGATTTCTGTTATCCAAGGCTACCTAAGTGTATCATATATTTTTATTAGTAAAAGTTGGCAGATACCTTCACCGTAGTAAAATATGAAGGGATCTAACTTAGGGCCATCTGTTTGTTACTTGTTAGGGATCACTGGAACTAGAAAATGCCGTAGATAAGTAAAAATGGAAAAAAATGTAAAAAATAAACCTGTATAATAATAAAACAATAAATAATTAATAATAAAATTTATTCATAATTCAAAAATGCAAAATACAAAATCTGTCTCGAGTAAAATTGATCTCTTAAAGTGATGATGATGTGATGAAGATGCCTGCTAGAACTATAAAGGTCGATAGGTGATCAAAAACTCCTAAATGATGTTTAGGCGAGTTCCGACACTTCTCTCGTTAACGGAATGGGGAATGGTTATTGTACGAATGTTAGGGTTCGCAACTAACCACATTTGTAACTCTGATTGATTTCCATCGGAAGGCCAGTTTTCAAAGCGACAAAATCGATCGAATTCGTGTCGGCGATGACGCGAGAGGAACCGCAGAGTATTAGGGTTACCACCGCAATATGGCGAATGTCTTAAAATTACATAACATAACAACATCACGCCTTTTATCCCCGAAGAGGTAGGCAGAGGTGCACACAGAAGTAACACCCACTTTTCACTATTTATGTAATGAATCCGATGTAAGTAATAGGGGGTGAGCCTATTGCCATATACTGGGCACATTTCCAGACTCCGTGTTACTACTGAGATTTTTTTTTGAAAATCCAGTAATACTTTGCCCGACCAGGGAATCGAACCCGAGACCCCTTGCCCGGTAGTCGCACTTGCGACAACACGGCCAACAAGGCAGTCATTTCTTAAAATTACCTGTCATTATATCACTAAGTGATAATCAGATTTCAATCTAATGTCTATTGGCACTGAAATCTGAAATGGTATGGTTTGCAAACAACAATAAAAACATGGCACAATTTAAGAGTCTTCCTGATATTGAAATTTGGTCAGCTCAGCATTATTTGTAAGTTGCGAATGAAGTGATACGGTGGATAATTGCATTATACTAGGTATCGAGCAAAGTCATTTAACCAATCTCCCGTAGGAATAGTCTGTAATAATGGAATGTCAAAACCCCAATCACGATCACACTGTACCTACATACGTCCTTCGTTTCATATTCGTCGTCAATCTTTTCATTCCCGTTCACTGGTTACGGATAAGTACTCTTAATCTGATCCCTTCTTAAAATATACGAAGAATCGATATAATAACTTCGCAAAACGCTTCGTCATTAAGCTATTTAGGAACTTGGCTATTATATTTCTCGGTCGCCAATTAGGCCATTCTTGGCGTATCATTTCCGAAACCAAATACCATTGAAATTGCTTGGAGTTCTGCTGATTACAGGGCAGTTATTCTGAACGGTCTGCTTCATTTGTGTTTTCCAGGACGATTATTTTGATGCCTTATAAATTTGTTTCTAAGAGAAGTTTTACAATCCGTTGTCATTTTTCCTACACAGAACCCCCTTTTTTTTAAATGGGAAAAATCATTGAATGACTGCTCCCGCCTGAGTGAGGCGGAAGGGAGTGTCAGACTCTTACTGACTAAAAACCACCCCGTTCCTTCTCCTGCACGTCGAGCCGGAGCCCCGGTTACCCGTTAGGTTCTCCGCGACTACACAGAACCCTTTCTTGTGTATTGAACACTAGATTATACCAGTGACTTCGCCCGCGGTCCCGCAAAATAACAAGCTTATGCGTTTTTCCAGACCATAATCCAAATTTTCCAAATTTCATCTCGATCCCTTCAGCCGTGTTGACGTGAAGGAGTAATAAACACACTTTTTTATATTTAAAAAAATCATTACCCCACACTAGGATTATCTCCTGTGTCGTGGGTGCGCTTACAAACATACAAGTTCACATACACATGACACCCAGACCCGGAACAACAATTTGTGGATCACACAAAGTGTTGTTCCATGCGGGAATCGAACCCGTGACACGTTGCACGGCAGCCGGTTGCCCAGCCACCGCACCAACCGCGCAGTCAGTATTTATTTTACAATTTATAATATGAATACCAATTTATAATATGACCATTATACTAGGTACATGCATTCAGTGCTTACACAAGACGATAAGTATTGGTATGCAGGAAGAAAATACAACCATGTTATTTATTTCGTGTAAACTTTCCCAAAGCTTGATAAATTGGAAACCTCCGGATGTACGGTAGATAGAATTAATAGACTATAAGGGTGAATGATTTTAAGGTCGAAAGTAATGGGTCCCATTTATAAATCAAAGCTTAGTATGGTCCCGTCGATCACGCACATCACCACGGTTTGCCGCCATAATTTTAACAAAGTGAATAAATGATAAACCAATAATTCATTGTTGATTTAAGTCCTTTTTTCCATCCATTGTGTAATTTACTAAAATGACGACGAACGACAGACAGCCAACATAGCGCTGTTACCAAACAATGTACAGAATACTGAATTCACGTATACCTATGTGCATTGGTATTTATTTATAAAACTAACTACTTAAATATGACAATGCATGGCAAATAATCTGTCCACAGATGTTTACTTACTGAAAATGATATCACTTTGAAATGACGTGAAAAATATATGAACGTAAACATGTCAACAGCAGCCAGCCAGATTTCTTTAAAAGCTCTCTTTTCAATCAAAATACGTAATGTCGCTCATGCAGTTTATTTTTTATTTATGTTTTAGTTAGAGACAAAGTTTACCCCACACTAGGATTTTCTCCTATATCGTGAACTTGTATGCTTGTAAACGCAAACAAACAAATTTTATACACATGACACCCAAACCCGAAACAAAAATTTTTGGATCACACAAAGTGTTGTTCCGTTCGGGAATCGAACTCGCGGAACGCACGTTACACGGCAGCCAGTTTCCCCAGACACCGCACCAACGCGCCAACCGTACAATGAAATATTCTTTTTTAATTTCAAACGCATTTTAATAAAAATTTTGGTAATAACTTGTATCTAGGTATTTTACATTATCAAGCAAGTCGGTTAATGACAAAACACATAAACTTAACCCTAGGGAAAACCTAGTCACAAATATTAGCTAACAAACATAAAGAGCAAATTCATGAAAACTTTTAACCAAAGTACCAAAGTAAATAAGCTGTTGGTACATTGAGTATCAGAATAAATGTCATTACAAAGTTCTGAATAACCAAACTACGATTTATCCTCAAGAGTACTGTGTAGTACTTGTGAGAATCACATAATGGCGGGGCGCGTCGAAATATAATAAATCAGACACACGTAGGTATCTCTTTATTGCGATTGTGTGAATAAAGTTACAAATATAATACTCGTTTGTAAGCCGTTATTATTATGTACGAGTACTTCAGAAGCGTCACCCTGTCTAGCGTCTCTTATTAAATTCATACACAGCTGATATTATTTTCGTATTTGATTTTCTCATTTTACGTCTTCGTTCGGGCGCGTATTTTTAGTCAGTCCTTTGCTATTTTTGTCCTTGCTCCCGACTTTTTCTAGGCCTATCTAGGTTAGAGATCTGAGTCTTAACCAGATTCAACTGAATGAAAATATTTTGGTTGAAGTAAACTTAATCTGCCCGCCACAACAATGCGTTAAAGCTCATATGTATAGGTAACGTCTATATAAAATTGGTTAGGTCTGTCTCTTTACCGGAGCAATCTCGATAAAACGCACTTTACATGTCTGCCATATTATACCAAAAATATTTAGGTAACTCTAATCAACGGACCTGGTACACCCAAAAGTAAAATACGTCCAGTAATTTTAACCACAACCCACATCCTCGGGCTAAATGCCCTACATGTTTTAGGTCTGATTTTTATACAAAGCTAGCCCAATTAAACACCGACACGTTTTTATATTTTAATTACTACCTAGCCTTTGTCTGGTAAATATAAAACCACTTTGAATGCCTTGAGAACGCTAAGGAGTTATGAAGAAAGTGGAGCAAGGAAAGATTTTAATGATGCATCATTTGCCGCGGCTTTGGTTACAAGTATTAGAAGCGAGTCTGTTGGGAAAATACCTAAGACTGAAACAGATAATGGCCACCCAAATAAGCTACATTTAAACTACACAGATTTACTTAATGATATGGAGTTGCGCGTGCTTCCAAACTTGCGAGTAGCATTGCCACTTCAAATCTCTTAGGTACTTTTAGTTTCAATGATCCAGAATATACCATCTTATACTACGTTCTTAAGGAGAATTTAGACAGAATATGAGAGTATTCTAAATAAGTACGTAAACTGCTAATAACGACGTCTCGGGAAGAACAAAATTTATCAAGTTGATTAGGGACGCTTGGGGCTTGAGCATATAAATAGTAGCAACATTTTCGCTTCCCTAGATTTCGTCGTTGGTATATAACAAAGGAAATGAGTATTTATACCTGGCATGGCATACAAAAATTTCTTTATTTAGAATTTGGTAAAAGTTTACCAAAATTTTTATCTGCTACCAGGTTATTTTCTTCATGTAAAGCTAAATTACTTCCTCCCCTTTGGTTCTTAGAGAATCTAGAACTAATCTTATCGTGTAGTAAAAGCGCATCGCTTGCAGTTCTAACTTCTAACACGGCCCGGAGGCTTGTTGACTGTACGCGACACCAGCTATCTCACGTTCGAAGCGGACTAGAACGACTTATCTCAAGAGTACACACAGCTTATTGGAACCTAAGATACTATAGATATAGATACTACAGATATATGAATCCAATTGGGACTCTTCAAATTTTTTTTTCTTTGGAGAAAGGATGGTTTATGTGGGTGATAAGTAAAATTTTAAAATATGTATTTGCCTCAGAATATAGTGTCTATTAAGGTACAAAGCATGCTTGTTGTTCTCAAGAGGTAAGCAGATGTAAAACTTTGGTTAGCTGCCGACCTAACATTAGTCATTTTGGTGATTTTAGACCCAAATCTTGGATTTCAACGCTCAAAATACCCATAACCGGTATTTTTAGATGAGAGAGAAAAACCCAAACTCTAGCATAGAACTAGGTACGTCAGTTTAAATCTAAACGGTGTTGAAAATGTATCGAAGCTTACTTATTTCAGTTCTGTACCTGCCTATGTGTTTTAACCTTGTTTTTTCTCTCCAGTTTGGCAGGGATGTCGCGCAGCGTGACAGTAGCGGTGGCGTATATCATGTCGGTGACGCCGCTGACGTGGCGCGAAGCATTAAAGGTGGTGCGAGCGGGAAGAGCCGTGGCCAACCCTAACCTCGGCTTCCAAAGGCAGCTGCAGGAATTTGAGACGTACAAACTAGTTGAGGTAATGACGAATGAAATATTGTTTTAACAGGTACAAGACTTACTAGCTTTTTGTACTTAGTTCATTTTGCATAATTAATACAAACAAACACAATGTTACTCTGACACGCAAAACCACTGGAATGATCCAGATGTATCTGAGAGGGTATACAAATGCCATGACCCGGCTTACTGCATGGGGTAGGTACCTACTTTTTATCCCGACATCGGACGATGTGTAAAACATATACCACATAAATACGTGTAAACTTTTAGATAGTCAGTATAGTTATGTCTTTAATGTGAAATCGTTATCTTTGTCTATGTAAAACGTATATTTGTTGTATTTGTGTCAGATTTCCACATAAGATCGAGATACGCTCTAGACACCATCGGACAAAAGCTACTAAGAAATATTATTACGATATCACAACTATGACTGTCATGGCGGCTGTAAACTAAATCTCAGTAATTTACATGGGACCCACACGCCACACGGCGGGTTGCGGCCGCTTCGCCTAACGTCGCGTGTCTTGCTGCCTTCTCGGAACACCCACTAAATAACTGGGTGAAATGTAGGATATATTCCTGGTATGCCAGTCATCTGTTTTGTGATATATTATTCGTTGTAGAAAATAATAGCCCCAGGACAAATGGTTTTTAAGCGCTACACTAAGGAACGAGTCGTTCTTGTCCATTCTGCCGTTTCAAATCTAAGTTTCTTCGCTCATTTTTTCAATTTGGTGTTTGAAATTAATTAGATTATCATACAGTCATCCTTTCCTTATTTAATTCTCCAACTTTTCTTTTTTCCCCAATTTCTAAGTCAACATTTTTCAATGCTTTTTCCTCGAACCTTGGCAATACCTAAGCGGAATTCTACCAATGACCGTGGTCCGTGTCCCCTTTCAAAAAGGTATTTAACGTCAAGTACTGTTATTAAAAGTACTGTAATCATGAAATTCCGGCCATCAAGGTATTTCTTCGAAAACTAAACCATTCAGCCAGTTCAGTAACCGTAATGAATCATTCGCGTGACCAAGTTAAATCGATACTAGTTCTTGTCAAAATTAGGTCTTATTAAATTGAAATATAAAGATGTTAATTATACAATGTATGCAGAGTATAAAGCTGTTCGGAAATTAAAAAATAGGCCCCTATTACTTGATACAATCTTTGTTTAGTACTGAATTATGAACCTGTTTAATATGAAATTAGGTACAAATAAGTGAAATGAAAACATCAAAACTTCAAAGTCAAAGCATTTATTTCAACTAAACCATAATTTGATACTTTTGAAACGTCAACAAATACAAAATAAATAATAGTCTGTCAGTCTGTCACTGACGACTGAAGCTAGGTACTCATTCCAAAATATAGATTCGAATGGAGAAGCACGAGCAAGAAACACAATTGGTTAACCTTCTTACTCAAGTTTAAGTTTCACCTAAAACACCATGATACAATTAATACTTTAGAATTTGGAAATAGTAAAACCCTACCTTTAAATTGCAATGTCATTAATTTATATTCCACAATACAATGACCAACAAGACAAAACAGACTTTATAGTTTGTCGTCTTTACAAGCTATGACTAAGCATTCAAAAGTTACCATCGCATGTTATTATCAAACAGAAGTTGTGAGGGTGTAGTACCTATAGCAGACAAAACCGCTGGCAACAGCAACTTCGTTATTATAGGGAAGTCAACACCATAAACCATATTGGACGCACCCATGTTCGATGGAATTGGGTCACACAAGCACATGACAGCGACATGAGGTCATTGGTCATTTTAGGAAAATTCCATTGTTGTCTAAATTACACCATGATTTTTTTGTCTTCTTTTTGATGTTAGCAAACACGCTTTCAAGATATTTTGTATTTATAAATTATTTGAGTAGCTTAATGGAAATAAAATGACGCATTTGCAGTTCGGGATTACAATTCGTTTTGATTACAAATTTAAAGAATTAAACAATATGACACTTATTACGCAATATTATTCCCATCCGTTTAATTAGCATACTTTCAGCAGGTATAAATGGTAGACTATGTTTTTATCTCAATATGGATTATGATAATGAAAGTCACAGCTTCATAAGCTGGAATCCATCTCCCATCCATATACCTCCTCACGTACGAAGCCTACAATTCTGGACACACGACACACAAAAGAATGAAACAAAATAATCACCAATTTTGTCTCCAGGAAAGAAGAAGACTAAAGGAACGTTACCCGTCCTTGGCATTAGCTGATAGAGATCTGTCCGAGTGCCGTGTCATGCTGGACTCCTACCAGACCATGTTGAACCAGCGCACCATCTGTGAGGGAAAGTGTTCAATGGGCCGACAATGTCCTACTGGTAACTATTTCATTATTCATTTTATTCTTCTATGAGTTATAAGGTCCTTCTTTATCGGTAGAAGTAATTCAAAGAGCAAATTAGATGAAATGATGCATAAATATCTTCTGTACTCTTACTATCAATAAAGATCAATATATTAATCCGACTTAAGTGGTATTACTATTTGGTTATCCTACATTCTGGAAGGACACATCGTCGCTATTTTAAAAATAGCTACTGATGAAGGGGATCTTATGAAGTGACTTCGCGTCAAGAGCATACTTGATTCTGATCAACCAGGTAGGTAAAACATGAAGTGTTGGTTGCTGCCAGTCTCGACCAGAATAATTCACTATTTTCTAACGCTTATAATGTATAGTCCCATTTTTACCTGAAGATTAACCAGCAGCTAAGTTAACGTCAAATTAAATTCTTTAAAGACGATGGAAAGGGAATACAATTAAACCCATTATTTATATCAACTTTGTCGTCTCTGTCTTTCGCATTGACACAACTATTGTAAGAAAGAGACGCGGATACTTAGTCGCAACACACGCCAACCGTCTATATAAAATTCTTAACGAGTTCAAAGTTGATATATCAATGTCACTGCAACTGTTAATCTTCAGCGAAAAAGCGCTTTGAATTACTTCAGTGACCTTTTAAGAGTGCTCTAAAAGAAAACTATCGTATTTCTCCTCACGTAGTTGTACATAGTTCAATTTGGCGCTGTAAGGGCCGACGTAGTTTTAATTCAATCGGTAGGAGGTCCTGTTATACCGGCCAGGCCTCACACCCCGACAATTCGATTTTGCTTTAGCAATCTCATATTAATATCGTCTGTATGTAGATTGTATGGCCCGTATCTTGCAAGATATTGGGATAAGGCAATCTTTGATGTTTCCAAATAGCCTAGCCTATAGAATATTTGTTTGAGCTTGTACTTACTTGAGAAGCGCTGAAAACTCTTGGAAATGTTTATTTGCTTCATAACGAGAATTTCTCCGAATATTACAAAGTTACGCTCATCTAAAGCTTTGCTTATTTTGCGTAACAGCAGATTTAACTGTAACTTTAGAATATCATTTGGTATTTACTTTACTAAAAGTTGTAGCTATTTATCAGCATGTACAGACCGACTCAAGTATTGTAATTATGTTAAGTAAACAGTGTAATCATCTTGTAAAGCACATTTCGCTCGCAAAGCAATGCTTTTAAAGTTATTGATGAGAGAGAATATCATCTGGCTCGGTATTGGCCTCTGCTACCCACGGTACTGTGACACCTGAGCACTGTTCTATCGTTCGATGTTATTGTGCGCACATTCACCACACTATAGCAGTACGTGTTCCCTTCTCTCATGTCAGGAGTATGCAGAACAGGGTCGAAGCGACAACCGCGACCGAGGAAGCCGTCAGTTGCCGCAGGGTCCGCGGAAGGCCCAGGGCTGAAGAGGTCCCCGTCTACTTTATCCACCACGTCCACTGTCTCTGGGTACCGACCGCGGTCGTCGCCAGCTGGACTTTATAGTTATACTGGAGGTTCGTAATTATTGCATGTATCTGACCTGTAAACAAATACTGGATTGTATCTTACCTTGACGATTGAAGTAGCCATTAAGTCGACGCGCAACATTGTGCTACGACGTAGCTCATTAGGTCTACGTGCTACGGCGGCGTAGACATGCTAAGCATTTTCACTTGTTTATTTCTCAAAGCCTGTGATAAGGGATGAAAACATGAATCAGCTAGTCTTGAGATATAACTTAATCTTTTGATACAGCACCGTCTCGTCCGACACGTTCCACGTCAGGGTTGAGCGTGACGCGCGTGACGGACCCGGTGGGCGGCGGGACGGCTATGGCGGTCGGAGGGACGGAGTACTCTCGGCGGAGGGCTGCCTCCGCACCTGCTACTCCTGCTCTCTCGCCAGCCTCCTCGCCGCCCGGATCGCCACATCGAGCACCGCACAGGTAAACACAAACTGCAAGAGTCTTTACATAATGAGATTAGTTGATTTAGGATACTTGAATAGCATGTCCTTACCAAAACATTATTTTCATCGCAATACCTTGCACTCTCTATAATTAGAGTATGAATTTTATTTTGTTCATCGTCATCATCATCAATCCTGTTTTTATTTTAACCACATTACGTCATATATACGTAGGTTAATTCAATCTATCTATCAATGAAAAATGACCTGCATTGCTGGCTTTTATCGGAACGTTTTATTAAATTCAAATGAACGTTGCCTACGTTTAAAATAAAATGTATGCTTCAACGAACTGCAATAGCGTAACATAAAGCCTGGAATACAAGAATTCATAAATTCATGTCGACGAATCAGATTTGAATAATAAACTTTAACAGGAATTCTGCTTGACATGATCCGTTTATAGTCCATTCAACATTCATACTCAGGCTTTACTAGAATACCTATACAGTCTGACTATACTATAACCTTTACAATTTTATTTTTTTCCGATCGCTAGGGAAAGCTGTAGAAAGAATAATACCTATCATGTTTTATTTTAAAAGTGGTAATACCAATCAAAGTTACGACAGGATATAAACAACAATCTATACCAAAGAAAATCATTTTAGCTTAAATGTAATTTTAATAGACATTTTAAACTTTTTTAAATTCATTCCAATCACAAATCCATTTGTGTTCATTTTTATTTTTGCATGTTTATTTTAATTTTTCCATTTCATGTAACTAGACGCGGTTGTGCGTGGGTGATACCCTCGGTGCAGTGGGACCCTGATACCCTGTGACGTCACCACGTCGTCTCAAGAGGTCTTAATCACTCTCATCGCACCCTCACCCTCCAGAAGGTTAAGCATTTCTTTTGTTCCTCACGCTTGTTTAACAATCATTGTAGCACGTCGGTGTGTCCAAGTACCTTGTTGAACTTTTTTAGCCTTTAGGTAAGTGCTGACAATGAATTTGCAAATTTGTGGACTGGTGAATTTTTGTAAATGTCCAAAAAATGTGAAGTATTGTTCAAAAGAGTACTTGAAACTTAATCATGTTGGGAAAAAATCATCTAATGACTTCTCCCGCCCGCCCGCGAGAGGGAGTGTCAGACTGACTAAAAATCAGCCCGTTCCTACTCCTGACCCGTTAAGTCCTCCGCGACTCCGTATCGGCATCAGCCCCACTGGCTCCATCTGTGGTGGTCTAATGTCTCTTTGAGGCTATAGGATTTTTATTCTATCGGTGCAATGGTTTCATAGCATGATTGACGCACTTGATGCAATATGCATTACTCATAACACATCACATCATTCATAATATATTAATACCTTTTTGACAACAATCACGAATGAATTCTAAAATCCATTTGCATACATTTTGGATATCAGAGAGTTGCACTCGTTTCATACCTACGTAGACGTACAGATTATTCCACGAATAATTCGACCGCGTTTAAAAGCCGACTCCATTATTACGTTTCGTTATTGGAAATTTTGAAAAGCTGCTTAATGGATTACCTTATTTGAATGTTTAGTAATTCGAAGAATCTTTGTAATAATTCTGAGAAGTGGTCGTTCCAAAAGGTTTTGCAATTACGATATAAATTCAGTTTTCCTTGGTTCTTTCATTTTAATATACTTGTAAATACATAGATTGGCACTTATAGTTAATTTTATAATAAGTATTGATTTACCTTCGTAGAGCATATTAGGTATACCGTAAAATGGGGTGAATAGAAATCGCGGGGTGAATAGAAACAAACTTGGGAATTTGATTAAGTTGTCTCTGGTGGGTCTATGGGCTATCAGAGAATATTTATTTCCACTATTTATTACACGGCAACATTTTGCCTTTATGCTGGCTACACACAATTTTACGTCAAGTGTAATGACATGAAGAAAAAAGCGGTTAAAGTGAACGTGTGCGTACAAGTGATTTTAGGCTGCGTAAAACTTTTTATTAAACGTAAGTTTTTCAGTCTTATCTCCTAGCGAATTTGTGTGTTTCATTAGTTAAGTTGATTATCTTTTACGAATAGAAAAGTGAGTGTCAATATTCAAATGTATCTTTCTTATTTCAAGTAAAATCAGGATGCTATTACTTTTCCTTGAATTCGAGGTGAATGGATACGAGTGAGGGGTGAATAGAAACGCCTTTAGGGTGAATAGATACGCAGAAAGAGGTGAATAGATACGAGTGAGGGGTTAATAGCAACGGGACAGGGGTTAAAAGAAACATGATTTTTAGGGTTGTCAATCGGCTGTCACTTAAAAAAATAATCATATTAATTAGTAGACAATCGCTAACTATATTTAAATATTTATTTTTTTGGCTGTCATCTGTTACCGTTATCCGTTTTACTAAAATGCTGAACAAATTTTAATGAAATTTGATACAAAGCTTGAACTCAAATTAAGGACATCTGGTTCTTTTTTAATATACGGCTGCCGATAAGCGATAAAATAGTTTAATCTGTCAAACACCGAGCGGTCACCGGTGACCGCGACCTATTGTTCTTTAATTGTGTCTATAAAACCGGTACTCGACGAGTTAAATTGTTCAATTATGTTATTACTAGTTTTTGCCTGTTACTTGTTTGCAAAAGTGTCGTTTACCATGTATACGTACGAAACCGAAGTCAGATAAAATGTAGCCTGTGCTGTGTGTGTGTGCGCGAGGGTGTGTGTGTGAGTATGAGTAAGTGTGTGTGTGTGTATGTGTGTGTGTGTGTGTGTGTGTGTGTGTGTGTGTGTGTGATGTGTGTGCCTGTGTCCTGTGAGTGTGTGTGTGTGTGTGTGTGTGCGCGCGCGCGTGTGTGTGTGTGTTTGTGTGATTTATGTCTATTGTTCAGTAAATACTTGATATTTATTTTATACAGGTACACAACATTGCGCTGCACTCATCATGCCAAGAATTTATAAACCCGATCCTCGAGGTAAGCGGTATAAAAAATACCCTAAAGAACTTATTGAAGAAGCTGTTCGGGAATACAACAAAAATAGTGATTCCTTAACTTGCATTGCCAAAAAATTTGAAATTGACAAGTCTGTCCTTTATAGGCATACTATTAAAAATTTAAAATCACAAGGGGGCAGACAGTGCTGTCAAAAGAGGTGGAATTGTCATTCATTAAATATATTAATGTCTGTGCTGAATGGGGCTATCCCCTAGAGCAGTATGATTTAAGAATACTAGTCAAAAATTATTTGGATAAATTGGGTATTACTGAAAAACGATTTAAAGATAATTTGCCTGGGCCGGATTTTTCAAGAAGTTTCTTAAAAAGGCATTGTGATAAAATATCGGAACGAGTTTCGCAGAATATTAAAAGAAACCGAGCTGCCGTCTCTTCTGAAATTATAGAGGCGTATTTTGAACAATTGAAAATATCGATTGCTGGAGTTCCAGCCAGCAATATCATTAATTACGATGAAACAAATTTGGCGGACGATCCTGGCCGAAAAAAAATTATCACCAAAAGAGGTACAAAATATCCAGAAAGGGTGATGAATCATTCCAAAGCTGCAGTATCAATTATGATGGCCGGTACGGCTGCAGGAGAAATGTTACCCCCATATGTAGTTTACAAGGCCCAAAATTTGTTCGATACGTGGACAAAATCTGGTCCAAAAGGATCTCGGTTTAATAGAAGCCAATCTGGCTGGTTTGATTTAAACATTTTTGAAGATTGGGTGACCTCTATGATTCTACCGTTTTTTGAAAATAGGCCTGGTAAAAAATGTTTAATAGGCGATAATTTATCCTCCCACCTTTCGATTGATTTAATAAGAAAATGTCAGGAAAAGGACATACATTTTATATTTTTACCAGCCAACTCCACACATTTGACGCAACCGCTGATGTTGCTTTCTTTAGGCCAATGAAGATAGCATGGCGAAACATAATATTACACTGGAAAAAAACTGATGGTAGGAATCAAGCATCGATTCGAAAGGTTGTTTTCCCAAATTATTAAATAAACTAATGGACGCTCTAAAAGAAAATGGTCCAGCTAATATTATATCTGGCTTTAGGAAAACAGGGATATATCCTTTTAATCCTTCTGAAGTTTTGAAAAAATTGCCTAATTGGATCGGTGAAATTAAAGAAACCGAAACTGTTGATGAGACAGTATTAAATTTCTTAAAAGATATGCGATACGGGACTGGTAATGTAGTTGAACCAAAAAAAAAGAAAAAGTTACAAGTTCAAGCAGGAAAAAGTGTGTTATGTTCAAGCGACGAGGACTATGTTGAGACTGACCGAGAATACGTGTCTTGTTCAGACCTAAAAGAAAAGAAGAAAAAGCAAAAAGAAATTAAAATAACAGACAAAGTCGGCAAAGGGAAGGGTAAAGGAAAAAAATCAAAAACCAATAAAGAAAGTGATTTCAAAGAAAACGATCCACCGAAACCTGAAAATCAACTTGATGAAGCAGTTCCAAGTTGTTCCTATGGAACAGATCCACCTGATCAAGAAAGCGCAAGTTGTTCGTATATTAACAATATAATCATTGAAAAAGCAGATACACCTAAGAAAGAACTTGCAAGTTATTCGTATAACATCAGTCCTTGCAATATAAATACTATGCCTGTAATTTTTGAAGACGATTTGGATTATGTAGGACACGAAACTGTTGTAAGGACCGATGAAGTTGAAGATTGTGAGAAGAAATCAAAAAAGATTAAAATTCTTTCTAATACCCTAGTAAGCAAATCTGAATTAAAGAAAATTTTAACAAATAAAACTGCAAGCACTTCTAGACGTCCCAGTTACTACAAGAATGACGATGATATTTTAAAAGATCTGATGGAATTAGATTAGAGGGTAATAATAACTATAGGCCGACCATTTAACTCGCGTATAGCCTGCGCGATACGCGAGTTAAACGGTCGGCCTATAGTACGCCATTATTTGATTTCCAAAACTTAACTCTAATGTGATTTTATTATTTACTAGTGCCCGGTTTCCGAAAGGCCGATCAATGTTAAAATCAACTAACTAGGTGTCAAATCTCTTGTGAAGTCATCTGATTGGTTGTTGATAATTCAGTCAACCAATCAGATGACTTGACAAGAGATATAGATAATTGATTTTAACATTGATCGGCCTTTCGGAAACCGGGTGGAAGTATGTCTAACTCATTTTGTGATTCGTTGTGATGCGAACTTGATCTCAATCTAAGAAACATATAGATCCTAAGATATTTTGCCAAATAAGTAGTTTTTTTCGTAAAATTTTTATTGTTTATGTTGGAATTTGAAGTTGTTTTATTTTTTAATATCTTTAAACTTATTTACTTTGTTCTAAGATAAACTAAACTAAACTTGTTCTTAGGTTTCCTAAGATAATAATACCTATATAACACATCTTTTAACGCACCTGCCTACATACCACAACACACCCACACCTCACCACAATACACTACACACACATCTGCAAAATAACTTCAACACTCTCACTCATACCAATCGGTATATTCTCTTATACACACTGTACTTACCTACTACAACAAGTTAGGTAGGTACTTATAATAAAAATAAGTTTTGACAGCCCTAGCGTTTTATTTCTATTCACCCCTCTCTCGTATCTTTTGACCCCAGTTTCCAGGTAAATAGAAACGGGCCACATTTTCCTAAATAACAACTAATTAACGTATTTTTACATAATTTAAGCATTATTATTTGGCAAATTACAACGCGACTTACAATTAAAACATGTTTTATAACTGTTGTAATAAGGTAAATATTATAATCTTAAGTTAAATAATATAAGTAGCGCCATCTAGTGTTAAGTTGGCAAGTTTCTCATAGACGTCGATATATTATCTGTATTATTTCCTTTTGTCGTCTGCATG